GTTGGCATCTTGTTAACTAGGTAAGATAGGGTGGAGCAGGGTAAGGTGATACAGACCACCAGTTAAAGTAATTTTTAAAAAGCTGCTTTAATACACCACCAAACCTATCACGATGACACTTCAGCCATGATCTAATAGTAATAATGACTATTACTAACATATTATTTATATATTTGTTTATTGATCTCAAGGGGCATTTTCTTGGGGATGCTGTGTTGAACTAGCACTAATCAGAGCCCAAGACCAGGCAGGCATGGGCAGCTGCTTACCCCAGGGGCGCTGGGGTGCTACAGCACTAACTCTGATCCCACAGTCTCTGGGCCTTTTCATAAGGTCCCTTTCATTGACCCTGATCCACATTCATGAACTTTTTATGTCAACCCCCTCGGCTGTTTACCTGTGGGTTCACGACCCAGTGAGAACCACTGTTCTGCTGGCTGTCCTGAAGAGTGCTCTCCCTGCAGTGACTCTTCCTGTTTATTTCCTCCTACAGCAGGAAGGAGTCATTTTGAAAGTTTGGCGGTATTGCTAAAATTTCTTCCCTGGGAAGAACAATATCTATCCCTCTTTCTAAGGTCCTGTGACAAAACAGGACTGACTCTGCCAAATTCACTCTGGAGAACCAAAGGATCTACTGGGCTTCTTTACAAGCATATAGGTAAGTGATTATCTTCAGGAGTGTGGGTACCCTCTCCCATAAAAGGTCACATTTGGACAGTTTTACCCAGCAGGGAGGATGGCTTTGTCATAGCTGTGTGTGAGTACCCTCCCCCATAAAAGGTCACACTTGGACAGTTTTACCCAGCAGGGAGGATGGCTTTGTCATAGCTGTGTGTGGGTACCCTCCCCCATAAAAGGCCATACTTGGACAGTTTTACCCAGCAGGGAGGAAGGCTCTCCTAGGCCCCCCTAGGCTCCCCTGGCCTTCAGGGAAACTTCCCCTTCCCTTCTCTAGCCCTCTCTGAGGCCACATGCAGTGAAGGCAGTTTTGTACAACATTTGGTAGGAAGCAGCTGGAGATTCAGGGGAGGTTCTCTTGACTCTCCATATCTCTCGGTGTAAAGGGTGTAAAGAGTTAACAAGCCCAGCTAGGATGCTCCTTTTTTGAGCAGGTGTCCTTAAAATCCAAGGTGGCAGTGGCTTGGCGTTGAAGGTAAGCTCCTTTTCCGAGAATCTCCTTTTTTTTTTTTTTTCCTAACATTTTGATCCTGTTCTGAGGCCCACGGCTCTGCTTATGGTCAAAGCTTTCAAAAGCAAAGATGGGAATTTTTTTCTTCCCGCCCCTGCCCTGCCCCCCATATGTAAAATGGATCTTTATTGAACCCCCAACTCAGCTAATTTGATCCAAAGCCAGGCCTCTTCTACCTCAAGCCACTTCTTCCTCTGGACATTTCCTTCAGTTTCTAACCGATGGCTCCATCCTCCTCTTGAGCCTGGCACACAGGGCACTCACTCCAACTTATCCCAGGAGTCCAAATCTCACCCCTTGCTGATTCACTCCTTCCCTAATCTCAGGACCAGGTTAAAGCTCCACATTGCCTGATTTTGTAGACACAGATGCCATGCTCCCAGTGTTCTGCATAACTGAATACTGCCTGCTTCCTTCACTAACCTGCCAACCTCACGAGAAGGCATTTTCCCCCTCTGCTCCTATCATTAACCTTCAGTGCCTAGCACCGTGAACAGGATAAACCCTTTCTAAGTACCAGGCACCCCCCCACACACACACACCCTTATTAGAATCTTTAGTCACTAGGTTTGCGCTGATTCTACTTAGGCCCCAACTACTGAAACTAAGGGGGAAATCAATCTGTTCTTCTCAAAGGTTAATATGATTTCTCTAACCGAACAATTGGGTCTGGAAAACAATGGTTAAATCTGGAATGATAGTAATAGTCATAATAATAATCATATTCATAACCATAATAATAATAAAACTCAACAGGGTTTAACGCTGAGATTGCACAGCTCAAGTTCAAGCAGACATTATAAAAGGTTACTCACTTATATGCTAAGTCCAACTTGCATAATGTGTACATAGTTCAGGAATGAAGAAATACACTTTTAAAACTAGTTTTACCTGCTCACAAACCTTCATTTCCATCAGTAGAAATCAAGTTTTATCTCTCCACTTATATAATTGTCTTTTGGTTCAGGTTATACTTTCTTCTGGCAATTATTCAGACACTGTAGAATTACTTCTAGGGGCAGGTACATGATTTGCTACGGACGGGGCTGAACAACACAGTGGTCTGGTGACTCCTGGATGTAGGGTAAACAACACTCCATAAAGCAGGACGGGGCTTAACAACACAGTGGTCTGGTGACTCCTGGATGTAGGGCAAACAACACTCCATAAAGCAGCCCAGGGGCTGAAAGGTGGACTTCCAGAGCCTCTTTGGGGAAGGTTCCTCATTTGCTCCCACGGTAGCTGGAAACGGGTTCTCTCAGTGCACAGTGCTGAGTTATATATTTTGCAATGTGGAGCATAGGTGTGGTGTCAACCAGCAGCATACCACAGTGACTGAGCACTCACATAGGGCTTACAAAGAGGAAGCGAGGGCAAACAGGTCCTGTCTTCCCTCTTGATTTGTTCCTAGTTTAGGAAGCTAGACTATCTGGAACTCTTGACTTAGTTCTTACAATCTAACAGACATGTGGTCAGGTCAGGAGCCTGCTATGTATTTAGGATTCCCTAGAGATATAATAGGATTATACAACTGTCCCAGCTTTCAAAAAGTTGCTGAAAGGTGACAACTGAGAACAAAATAAGTAAACATGGAATGAAGTGGGGGCCTATGCCTTTTGATTTTGTTCAAACATATTACACGAGAGTTGTCTAATCTAGAAGGTGATTCCTTCAATGAAGTGAATGCATGAACACAAACATGCTGTTTATACTATAGTATCCTGCATGGCTTTCACCAACTCATCTCTTTGCCACGGTCCCCGCTGTATTTAGTTAGGACTCTAGGATTTTCCACTGGCCATAACCTTCTGCTGACTCGCCTGCTCTGTACTGTAGTTCATTCAGGGGGCTCTTTGTGCAGCAGAGGCCCAGTCCTGCTCTCTACTGCAGAGTGACCCTGAAGAAAGCAGATGTCCACTTCCCAGCTGTGCCTATCCACAGGGAGCTGGGCCCAGACTGGCTCAGTAGGTGTGTTTCTCTTAACCTGGGACAGCTTTCCTTCAATTTCCTTTCTCTCCTTGCTTCCTTCTTCCAGCTAATCTGTCTCTTATACAGTGAGAAGAAGGTTTGCAGTGAGGGCTTAGTCTGCATAAGAGCTAGGCAGGCAAGATGAACCACACAGGCCGTGGTCAGTTGTGCACTCTCCTGCTTTAACTTGAGCTAAACCTTCCACTCATAGTTCAGGAACAATGCACAGTGAAGAATGTCCTAAATGCAATTCAAGGTTTGTTCTTAGTTAACAATGAGTAAAGAACACTGTTGAAACAGCAGAAACAATAAAAAATCAAAACCAGACTAACTGTAAATAATTTTTTTTCTTGAGAGACAGACAGGGGCTCAAAAACTCTTTTAGGTTCATGACTGAGTCAAATTAAAATTATACATCAAATCACAAAATGCTTTTAATTTAAATAGTCAATGTTTAATAATAAAGGAGACTTCTAAAATGTTGATACATTTTAGGGCTCAACTAAATCCTCAGAGTAGAACAAATCAACAATAGAAAATAAAAATGGTTTGCTAAATTATTTTCTTCTAAATGTATACTCTTTTGGCAGATTAATAATTCACAACAAATCATTATGCTTTGTATTTTTATAAAATTCTTTTCAAGGGGACCTAAATTAGGTATAATAAGTTAAATAAACATGCTACTTAAAAACTGAACAGTGGGAAAGACCGACACATTGTTAAAATTTTGTTCAATGGCTATATTTTAGATGGTGAGTAGGTAATTTTCTACAGTATTTTAATGAAATATATAGGTAAAACTTTCTCTAAAAAATTTTAGATAAGAAAAAAATTGGAGGAAGACAACTAAATACTACAATGTGTTAAAAATAAAATTCAGTAAAATCAAGAACAAAACTAGGTTAAAAGCTGAGCTCTTGCAATTTTTAAAAAAGCCCCACAATTTTTCTTCTTAGTGACTCTAAATGCGTCTTCAATTGTCTCCCTATTCAAATATAAATACGAGTTTAATAAACATTTCCTTTCAAGTATTTTCCCACTAAACAAGCATATACATATGCCGAGCAGAAGGAGCCATCTTTCCTGGTGATAGAAGGCAGAGCAATAGCTTTTCATTTGACTTAATTTGACAAGTAATTTGAAAGGAGCAAGAATCACATTGTTCATCATCTTGGTGCATAGCAGATTAGAATATATTTTCATAATCTTTTTCAGTCTGGAAGATTAACTAATTAGAACATAATTTTGTACTACTGCTGTACTCAAAAGTTTAATTAGACTGTGTATATTGGCTTATACCTACAATCCCAGCATTTGAGAGGCCGAGGCAGGAGCATTGCCATGAATCTGAGACAACTTGGACTACACAGTGAGACTCTTTCTTTAAAAACCAACCACAAAAGGAAAGAGAACAAAAGAATTCATTAGGATAGAGGTGGCATGCATATGACTTTATAAAAATAAATCCGCTGGTTTTTTTTTTAAGACTACGAAGATAAAATATTCTAGAACATGATCTGAACTTAAAAACAAAGAAAATGAAAACCAGCAATTTCCCGCGTGAGTCAGCCAGCTGGAGTTCTTTCACACACATGCTAAGTTTCCCTCAAGCATAAAGCCTCTGAAACACATGTTTTTACTCTCCCCAAACCTGCTAAACGGAATTTTGCAGTTTTACTTAGTTATTATGTAGTAGGGAGCCCTGGCTTTGCAGATCAAAGGCTTTGCAGTTAAGCCAACAATTATTACTAGGCTTTCTCTTTTCTTGTTTAAGTGATACTTTCCGGTTACATTCCTTGGGTAATAAGACACCCGAGACGAGCAGACAAGCAATAGATGACTACTCAGGTGACAAAGCGTTAATAAAGTTTTCAAGGTCTGCTAAAGAATTGTGAAGTTCATCGCTCATGTCGTGACTTCTAAGAAACCTTTTCAGAGTGCCTACAGCTGTGAGCGCTTCGTTCTTGGACGGTAACAGCACGTCCTCTTCTAGAGCTCCGCTGTCCTCCTCCTCTTCATCAGAAGTATAAAAACCAGTTTCGTCTTGCTTACTTTCTCCGGCCCACTCGGCATCATCTTTTGGGGTGGCTTCGCAAGTCTGCAGGTCCTCATCCAGGGCAGCATATTCCTCTATGGACAAACCTTCAAGAAATTCCACTCCTGTCCCCACTGCATGGGCAGTCAGATCAAGAGTAGCAGCGTCTTCTGCATTTGCTGTGTCATTTTCTCCCTTTGGAGACCTGAATCCTGCTTCTTCATAGCTTTTAACAATGGTCTCTGGAGTTACAGCTCTCCAGCAGAGATGCAATGTATCAACTGCGTCTAGTAGAGAAAATGTAAACTCTTTGCTACTTTCGACTGAGCTTAAAAATTTCTTGATAAGACAATGCCGATATTTGATTTTAAGACTTTTAATAACACCTTGATTCATAGCTGCAAACCCGGAAGACAAGCATGATGGGAAGAATGCTAACTCAATGGACTTTAGGTTTTTCACTTCTGGATGTGCCGGGAAAGAATCAACAAAAATCACCACTCTTCGTTTCTGGGCTTGGAATTTCTCATCCAGCTTCTGCATCCACTGCTCGAATATGGCTGCAGTCATCCACGCAGTTCTGTTAGCTTCATAATACACAGGCAATGATTTTATGCCTTTGAAACAACGTGGGGCTCGGTTTTTCCCAATGATAAGCAAAGGGAGCTTCTCAGAGCCATCCATATTTGTACCGAGTGCCAGCGTTATCCTGTCTTTGCACAGCTTTCCAACTGAACATGTTTCTCCTTTGAATGCAAAAGTATTTGTGGGTAACATTCGATAAAGCAGTCCAGTCTCTTTTACATTGAAAACATTTTTAGGATGATAATCGTTTAAGTAATAAGGAAGCACATTTTGGTACCACACAGTGCAAGGATCTATAGATACACCGGTGGCATCTACAGGTTGTGCTCTAAATACTAAGCCATACCTGGATTTAAAACGATCCAGCCAACCATTGCTGCACTTAAAATCATTGTGTCCCAGCTTCTGGGCAAAATCATTAGCTTTTAGACGCAACATTGGACCATTAACTGGAACATTTAGACATTGAGCAATCCGATACCACCTCATCAATGCCTCTTCCAGATCCGTATAAAACGCTGTTCTCAGTCTTTTTCTCTTCGGATCAAATCTCAAAGACTCAAAGGCTTCTAGAACTTTGTCTTTGTTTTTCATAATGGAAGACAGTGAATTTTTCTTTATGCCGTATTCAGCTGCAATCTCTGCCTTTTTCTTGCCACTTTCCACTGCATTTATGATGTCAATCTTTTCCTCGATGGACAGGCTTTTCTTTTTCTTCACAGTTACAGGCTGAGTCCCGGCATCCACAGAGGCTTCTGCCATCTCAGCTTCGGCTTCAAGCTGCAGACCTTAGCTCTGAGCTCCTGGTGTAAGATTCTGTAATCAAATTTGGCTTTCAGTAGGCTATGGACCAGGGCTTTCTATCTACCATTTCCTGTATTAAAGTTGGTAAATACCAACAGTCTCATTCTCTAGGAAAACAACAACTAGAAACATCTTTTCCAAAAGTCTGAAGAAAATTCTATATGTGATTAGAAGAGACACAACCTTCTTAGGATCTTGTGTGGCTCAATTTATAGTTCTTCAGAGTTCCAGAAGTCAGGCTAAAATAGGAATGTCATTATGTCAAACCTGCCCAGTCCTGCTGGGGTATTTTTGGAGCTGGAATCCTTTAAGACGATTCATTTTATCCATGCATGCTTCAGTCTTGTACTAAATTCTCCACAGCAGGCTCAGAGATAAGAAACAAACTTTCAAAAATGTCCATGGAGGATATCCCAGCTTAAGCTCTAGTTTCTTCAAGGGAACAGAACGAAAATAATGGCGTACTCCTACTTCTTGAAAATGCTGGGGGTGGGGGTGGGGTGAAGCAGCAGTTTAGCAACATGGCAACTGGATACTACCATGCTCTGAATAACAATAAAAAGGATGAGAAGAAGTTTCTGGAAATGTAGTAACCAAAGCTTCCAGATAGATGCTTGCTTCCTGAATGGCCTCTCCATTAAAAGCTCTGCTCTGTGGTTTGCATCCATCCTCCCTTGTGCTTTGCAATATATACTTCTGAAATACACTGGACAAATTGAATCTGCTTTCAAAATGTGTGCCTGCCAAAACTGAAGAACTACAAATGATCCTGGATAGATCCTGGGTGGCTATTTTCTACATGAGGTCACAGACTGTACCCTCTGGCTCTGCAAGAAAAAAAATAACCACAGACAGTAGTCATGAGCTCAGCTTTTAATAGCACGTGGGAGACAGTCTTCTTCATAGGAGACTGCTAGAAATACTTCATCGAAATACTCAATTCAGGTGATGAATAATTCCATTAAAAAGTCTAAAGCCTGTGCTCCCTCAAAGCTAAAAAAAAAAAAAGTCTAGTCATTTTTACATCAGTTTAGTATAGTATATGAATATACACAGGTCAGTGCTGAGACCATGCATCATAATAAACACATTGTTAAGGGATATAAGGTAGAAAATTATCTGGACTAAAATAGAAAGTAGAGTGAACATGGTTCTTAACCTTTCAGACCCTCTGTGTGTGTGTCTGTCTATGTGTGGACACGTGGCTTTCCATAGTATGAAGACATGAGCTTTGGAGCAAGATGGATCTTGAGAAGTGACAGCCACTTAGTACTTAGGTGGTCCTGAGTCTTAACCATTAAAGCCTCAGCTGCTTTATCTACAAAAGGGGAGAAACGACACGACTGACTTCATAGAGTTGCAGTACACTCAGTAAGTCTCAGTGAATGAATAAGAGGCACTCAGAATAGCTTTTAACACACACACACACACACACACACACACACACACACACACACACACACATCCTTGCATATAGACCCCAGCTGGACCTTGAACTTGCCATCCTCTTGATTCAGTCTCTCAAGTACTGGCTAGGTAAAACAGTACACAACCATCATACCCAGGATAACTTCATAGTTGAAGAAAGTGCCCAGCGACTGTGGGCTGATGATTTCATTATCATGGTCTTCTCTTTTCAATCTTTTTGGCTCTCAATTGCAGATTTGGGAATAGGAATGACACTAAAAAAATAGACTGGAAACAGTTCTCTCTCTCTCTCTCTCTCTCTCTCTCTCTCTCTCTCTCTCCTTCCTTCCCTCCCTCTCTCCCTTCCCCCCCCTCTGTGTGTGTGGGGGGGTGGTGTCAAAGGAGAATGTTGGATTTCCTCTTCTTTACTCTCTGCCTTCTGCCTTTCCTTTCTTGAGACAAAGTTTCTCATTGAACCTGGAACTCACAATTTTCCATCTAGGCTGACCTATACCATACCCACCCTCTCCATACCCACCCTCAGCACTGAAGTCACAGGTGCATGAAGCTATGCAGGTTTTTTAGGTAGATGCTAGTCTCTAACACAGGTAAGTAGGTCTTCAGGCTTGAGCAGCAAGTACCCTTAGCTGGTGAGTCTGCTTCCTTGCTAAGACTCATTCTTCTTAAGCAGCAGGAGTGAAACCAGCCACGGGGATCCAGACAGGCTCACAGTCACCTCCCAGACACCAGCTCTCTTGCCAGAATCTTTCTATTCTTGGCATGCTGTGGCCAAGACAACAGGAAGCTAATTTGATAAGTGAACATTATTATGTGGGCACCCTAGTCTTCCTGCTGTGTCCCCAGCTTCCAAAATGATATCTTTTTGCTTGTTTTTTGTTTTGTTTTATTTTGTTTTGTTTAAGACAGGATCGCTCTGCATGGTCTAGATTGGCCTTGACCTCATAATCTTCATATTCAGCTTCTTGAATGCTGGGGCTATAGGTGTACCTAGCTTACAGAAAAGTTCTTATTAAAACTCTTCTGCCCCTGTAATCATCAAAATTACAACTCATAGGTTTTTTTTCCTAAATTGTTGTTGCAAAAGAGATCTTAATATAATAACATCATCATGGCATTTGTTTTCAAATTGTTTTGCTGCCTATATTCCAAGTAACTAAGGAGGTAGGTAGAACTGGGTTTTAATGGTCACACAGTTATGATGTGTTTGGAATACAGTTCATAATCTAGTCTTTTTAACATCCAGTCTATATTCTATTCTTTATAGTAGAGTATACTTATATTGACAGGGCCTTCTCTGACCATAATTTACAATCTGGGTTCCCTGTACCAAACCAAGTCAGCTCCTACATAAAGCCTGCAATAACAACTTTTTCCCTCTTCAAGACAGGGTTTCTCTTTGTAGTCCTGGCTGTCCTGGAACTTCCTCTGTAGACCAGGCTGTTCTAGAACTCGGAGATCTGCCTTTCTCTGCTTCCCACATGTTGGGATTAAAAGCCTGTGCCAGCATGCCCAGTTTATAACAACAACTTTTTAAAAAAATATGTTTATTTTTTAACAAAAAACTCAAGATAGCAAGAACTATTCTCAAAAATAAAAGAACTTCTGGGGAAATCACCATCCCTGACCTCAAGCTGTACTATAGAGCAATAGTGATAAAAACTGCATGGTATTGGTACAGAGACAGGCAGGAAGATCAATGGAATAGAATTGAAGACCCAGAAATGAACCAACATACCTATGATCACTTGATCTTTGACAAAGGAGCTAAAACTGTCCAGTGGAAAAAGGACAGCACTTTCAACAAATGGTGCTGGTTCAACTTGAGGTCAACATGTAGAAGAATGCAAATTGATCCATACTTATCTCCTTGTACAAAGCTCAAGTCCAAGTGGATAAAGGACCTTCACATAAAACCAGATACACAGAAATAGAAGAGAAGGTGGGGAAGACCCTTGAATACCTAGGCACAGGGGAAAAGTTCCTGAACAGAATACCAATGACTTATGCTCTAAGGTCAAGAATTGACAAATAGGACCTTATAAAATCGCAAAGTTTCTGTAAGGCAAAGGACACTGTCAATAGGACAAAACGGCAACCAATAGATTGGGAAAAGATCTTTACCAATCCTACATCTGATAGAGGGCTAATATCCAATATATACAAAGAACTCAAGAAATTAGACTCCAGACAACCAAATAATCCTATTAAAAATGGGGTACAGAGCTAAACAAAGAATTTTCAATGGAGGAAACTTGAATGGCCAAGATGGACCTAAAGAAATGTTCAATATCCTTAGTCACCAGGGAAATGCAAATCAAAACAACCCTGAGATTCCACTCCACACCAGTCAGAATGGCCAATATCAAAAACTCAGGTGATAGCAGATGCTGGTGAGGATGTGGAGAAAGAAGAACACTCCTCCATTGTTGGTGGGATTACAAGCTTGTACAACCACTCTGGAAATCAGTCTGGCGATTCTTCAGAAAACTGGACATAGCATTACCTGAGGACCCAGCTATACCACTTCTGGGCATATACCCAGAAGATGCTCTAACATATAACAAGGACTCATGCTCCACTATGTTCATAGCAGCCTTATTTATAATAGCCAGAAGCTGGAAAGAACCCAGATGTCCTTCAACAGAGGAATGGATACAGAAAATGTGGTACATTTACACAATGGAATATTACTCAGCTATTAAAAACAACGAATTCGAGAAATTCTTAGGTAAGTGGATGGAACTAGAAAATATCATACTGAGTAATGTAACCCAATCACAAAAGAACACACATGGGATGTACTCACTGATAATTGGATATTAGCCCAAAAGCTCGAAATATCCAAGATTCAACTCACAGACCACGTGAAGCTCATGAAGAAGGAAGAACAAGTGTGGGTGTTTTGGCCCTTCTTAAAAGGAGTAACAAAATATTCAAGAGAGCAAATATGGAAACAAAGTGTGGGACAGAAACTGAAGGAGGGTCCGTCCAGAGACTGCTCTACCTAGGTCTCCATCCCTTGTGCATTCACCAAAGGTAGACACTGATGTGGATGCCAGGAAGTGCATGCTGACAGGAGCCTGATATAGCCATCTCCTTAGAGGTCTGCCAGAGCCTGAAATATACAGAGGTGGAAGCTCATAGCTAACCATTGAGCTGATCATGGGGTTCCCAATGGAGGAATGAGAGAGAAGACTGAAGGAGCTGAAAGGTTTGTGACTCCATAAGGAGAGCAACAATACCAACCAACCAGAGCTCCTAGGATCTAAACCACCAGCCTGGGAGCACATAGGGAGGGGGCCATGGCTCCAGCGGTATATGTAGGGGAGGATGACAGTGTCAGGCATGGGTAGGTGAGGAAGTCCTTGGTCCAGTGAGGGCTGGATGCCCCAGTGTGAGGGAAATCGTGAGTGGGAGGCTGGGTGGGCGCATATCCTCATAGAAGCGGGGTGGGGGGATGGGATGGGTGCTCCTGGGTGGGGGGGAGGGGGACTATATCTGAAATATAAATAAAATATCCAATAAAAATT